GGAGTACAGGGGAGCATAGGAGAGTACAGGGGAACAAAAGGGAGCATAGGAGAGTACAGGGGAGTACAGGGGAGCATAGGGGAGTACAGGGGAACACAGGGGAGCATAGGAGAGTACAGGGGAACAAAAGGGAGCATAGGAGAGTACAGGGGAACACAGGGGAGCATAGGAGATTACAGGGGAACACAGGGGAGCATAGGAGAGTACAGGGGAGTACAGGGGAGCATAGGAGAGTACAGGGGAACACAAAGGAGAACAGGGGAGTGTACACCCTCTGTTTTACAGTCTTGGGCCTTGTTGACAGTTCCTTCACTACTCATAGAAACGTCTTTAGGGGTAAGAAGATTGGTTCTGTCACTGGTTCTTACAGCTCTCCAAGTCCAGCATGCATTCCTGCTCATCCATGGGGTACTTAGTCAGGTCCATGTCACAGGCCACTGTCGAGGTAATTCTAAAATGAGAAAAGACGGTTAATCGCATCATCACCGTCAGAAATGCTGTACCAGTGTAGTGTTTGCAATCAAGTGCAGTCTATGCACGACAGACACAAATGCACTCTGTCTCCCTTGTTTTTTGATGATCACATATACAGTACTAATAGTTGGTGATTGAAATTTCTGTTCAATTGGGTTTACACCACTTGCTGTATTAGCTTGGAAAACGAATACATATCAACTTAATTTCTTGTAATGTTTTGTGCACCAATTAGCAAGTAAATGAAAGAGTTTCTGCTGACCCCAAAGAGGTAGAAAACACGGGAAAGCAAGTGCAAACCTTTTATTCAAATACAAAAGTTGTGGATTAATTCTAAAGCTTATTTAAGCCAGCTAAGACCTGTCCCCCAAAATCCCCGGGGCAGGAGGCCGACAGCGCGACAGGCCTATCTGTGCATGGCAGGCAGGCAGACCTGAGCGCAGCCTTGTTACCCAGCCGCCCTCAGGTGCCGCTAATCAGCCAATCCTGAGCTGCGGGAGAGACTCCACAGAGCTGAGGGGGGGGGAAGGAAGCGGCAGAGCTAGACGAGTGTAGGCGTCTTGGCAGCGGGTGTGAGCGCAGTGCATGTGTTTGCACTGCAGATGGTTTGGAAAGGCTGCGTGGACGACGACTGTCTGCTCCTTTTTGATTTATTGCACCTCTACGTCTGCTGCAAACTCTTAAATAAATCTGAGACCTGTTCAGGCTGGTAATTCCCATGCAGAACGGGATTCAGCATGCCAATGTCCTCCTGCATTGCTTCACATCACCGTGAGTTACCCCCCCCCGCCCATTACAGACACCACTGTCTAATTTGCTGTTAATATTTTGAGACACCTTTTAAAATATCAGAAAATGTAGTGCTTTAGAAAAGAGTGGATGCAGATGTTCCACAAAGATGCCAAGAATCAAAACCATGGTGTAGATTAATCAGTTAAGAGAGAAGCAAGATCCTGCCCACACACAGGCCCGCGGGGGCTCCGTTAGAGACCCCGTGTTTGCTGTAAATACACCCCCGCATCCCCCAGCCCCTCCCCCCACTCAGCCCGCCTCCATCATCTGTGATGTAACGACCGCAAAGTACAGTAGGTCATAGCTTTGGCTGATTTCCAGAAAGAAAAGGCTTGTTTAAAAAAACAAAATACAACCCGCTGAGTTATTTGTTTCTTATGATTTTAAACTTTTTTATTTTAGTCTCACTGGAGACACGTGTCGGATATGTTAGTGAGTAAAACCACGAGTATGACCTTGTCCTTGCTCTCCCTTTACTCACTGACAACACCGGACATGTGCGGGGGTGGGGTGGGGTGGGGGGCCTGAGCACCTGCCCCTTTTGCCCAAACTATCCCTTTAAAGGCACAGAGTGCCGCGGTAATGCATGTGTCAGAAGCTTTGAGCTCCTCCGCCCCAGAAGGCCTGCCGTGGCGCTGACCCGCACCGACCGTGCTTCACTCTCCAGCTCCAGCATGTGTGCAGGGAGCCGGAGGCCTGCTGCTTTTCATTCAGCCTCATCTTTTGTTTGCTTCATAGAAGCGATTATGTGGATAGTTAGTCTCCTCACCTGGCGGTTCAAATGAAAATCAGGTGCTAATTATAATTAATTCCTGGAGATCTGCTGTGCACCCACGCTGAACCTATCCCCACCACCCCACTATAACCCCCCCCGGCCCCCCACCGGCTGCTGTAGAGGATCACTCCATCTGGCTGGAGGCGAATCAGCTTGTTCTCCACGGTGACGTCGTGGAACCAGGCCGACTTGGCGTTGACGATGAACGTGTCCGGCAGCCACAGCTTGTCCACAAAGCGGCTGTCCAGCCCCAGTGTCTTGTTGGTGTGGTTATAGGCCAGGCGGTCGTCCCTCCAGCTCTGCCGGAGGAACACGGTCATGGTGTATTCCTGTCCGATGAGGGTGCCGTGTGTTGGGAACAACCCGGAACAAGAAGGAAGCTCAGTTAATGACAATCTCAGTGACTAAGGCTCGTAGGTCCTTAAATCAGTGAGGAGAAACTTAACAAGATACAAAGTCATCCTCAAGTCATCTTTGAACTTCTCCATCACTGTAATCTTTTCCCTGTCAACCACGAGTGCCAAATAAACAATTTTTACAGTTATTTTTATTAATGAGCAGTGATTTGCATATCCTAAGGTTTTGTACCAGAATGGTTTGTCTCATTACAGGAAAACATGGGTTCAGATTGATCAACACAAAGAGTTTGCAGTTATTATGAATCCACAGTCTGTAAGCAATATTTTAAAACACTTTCTGGTGTTTTTTTTCCCTGCGGAGATGCAGTAAATAATATCTTCTAAATCGCGGAATATAAGAACGCTCAGGTCAAGGGGCTCCTACTTTACCATGTTGGCCTCAGAGATGTGGTCTATGCTGGCGACTTCAATGGCCATCGCGACGTTCACTGGAGGGCCTGAGGAGAAGCAAATGAGAGAGAAAACGGCAAAGAATGCCCCCCACCCCCGCATCTCCCCACCTACACACCAAGTACCCGTTCATCAAGATAAAGAGCAAGGTCGTGCAGAAGTGCCATTATTGTGAAATGGGATGCAGCCCACTAGAACAGTGATATTCCTCCTTTGCAATTAAAATGCCTTCTTATATAAGTGCAAAAAAAAGCACTATGGGGGAAAAAAAAGACAATTCTAAGCCCATCCTTCCTGAAATGCCTATTCGAGGAATTAAAAAAATCTGTCAGCTCGTTCATCAATCCCGTTGAGCAGGAAACTTTCACTATGAAGTGTCCTTCCTGAAGGTCTGAAAGGTGTCTAGTGGCTGCACTGAGAACTACGGCAGAAGCAAAATATCATGCTGCACCACACCAGGCTTGAACTACATTTCATATTTATGATATTGACTGGTTTGTTTTCTTGCCCAAAGCATGCATAGCTATTTAAATTATACAGCATAAGCATTTCAGTGAAAGAATTTTTGTTTGGTTTTACAGTCAGAAGTATAATAGAATGATATGTCCTTGGCCCAGCCACCCTGGTGACAAGTTTTATTTTGTCACCTGCTGTCACACTGCATACTGTATCAGCAACAGCACGGAAAGCCCATCCTGTGCTGGAAATGCGATGACCGACGCTGGTGCTCTAAACGTTTGTGCATGTGAGCAGCGGTGAAATTTAACTTGACTCAGAACTGAGTTAAGCTGTGAGGGTGAGAAATCTAAAGCTGCAGTCATTGGATATTTCACATTTGACAGCCATTCTTAACAAGATTTTCTCCGACAGGTACGTCACGTGGCTCAGGTAACTCTCTCGCACTACGCACTTCCATTCGATCCGTTGACATCAGTCAACAATTTTATGGACTCTACATCTATGCCACTCGGTAAAGTAAGAATTACTGAGAGACTGCAGGACCCTGACTTCATTTCAGGGATTAGCTGCATTTGAAAACTGCATCAACTCTTAAATGCACCTAATGGAATAATTTTCAGTAAAAAAAAATCTATGTAAAATTTTTTCTCAGTAACTGGTAAAAAAAACAACAGGTTTGCACCTACATGTCAAGTAGGAGTTGAACAGACCACAAGCACTTTGCTACCTGATAGAGAAGTTTATGTTAAGAATGACAGGAAATGCGAGGCGATGAAAAGGCATCCAATGATACAAGCAATAGATCTCATACTCACCTCCTATCCCAGGACGGAAATTTCGCGCGTACCCCTTCATTAAATCATCCAGATTAGGCAACCAGGATATTTCAATGTCTGTACCTACATAGTCGCCAATATCACTCATCATCGCCCTACGGAAAACAAAAGCACGAAGCTTGAAATTTCAGCCACTGCAGGCGTCCACTACAAAGTTACAAATGGCAACATTCATTTCAGTTTAATGAATTAATTAGTCAATGCATAACATATTTCGATAGCCATTGGATGGGTGATATCAAATACAAGAAACTAAAATGTAAAAGCATGGCATCAGTGAAACGATTTATGTCGAAAGATGATCTGATATGAAACATGCAGTTTAACCTAATGTTTTATTTATATATATTTTTTGAGGTGTGCTTGCGATAAATTCTTATACAATGCACTGGTTTTTGGATATTCAAAAAACAAATGAAAATGCCCAAAATTACAATCTTCAAACGTTTTTTTCTTTTTTTAATTCATATGGAAATAGCTGTTCGTGTTTAATTAAATTTTATGGTTATATGTTTCACATCCCTTCTGACTCATGTAAGGGAGCCTGACAGCATGAGAGGTGGGAGAATGAAAAATGGCCACAAGGGGGCAGTAAGTTCTGCCCAATTAGGCTGAATTCTGGCTGATTTTAGCAACTGGCAAGAACAACATCTTGCAGAGGCCTTTTCACGCAGGAGTTCATCTTCCTGTGGCGCTGCCTGGGAGGAAAGCAGCCCACACTTCACATCCAGACATCTGCTGCCGTCTTTCTAATGTGCCGCTCTTCAAACACTCGCAGAAAGAGCGAGAAGAATGTGAGGAAGTGAACAGCGAAACATAACAAAACTACGCATAAATAACGGGCTGAAACGCCGGTGTGATTGCTTCCACAGGTGTGCCGTAGTGCTCTCTGGTGCAATATTCACATTAAATTATGATCACTGTCAGCCACTGAAACCATTTAGCAATATTTTATGAAAAAATACAAATCAGAAATTACACATATAATATGAGATATGCTTCTTTTAACTAAGAACTTGTGCATATTTGTGAATAACGCGAATATAGTCATATCGCTGTATATGTAGCAAAATGGAATTTTCAATACCATATTAATATCCGTCATGACTAAAAGTTCAGGGTCAGTCACATGTAATACTGTAATTCTGTAAGTCACCAAAACATCACTGCAAAAATGTTGTGGATATTTTTTAACCATTTTGTGTTAGTGTTTTATGGTAGTTTGCATAAATGAAATATAAATACAAGATATTTATATAAATTAATATTTGCAATTTATAAAGGCTCTGAATTTTCATATACTTTAATATAAAACAGTTAGATAATATTTATTTTTACTTAATATGCTTTAATACGAAAACCTTAGAAATGATGTTTTGTATTAAGCACATAAAATTAAAGGTCAGCTTCTTTATTTTTCCATTGAAATGTTAGCCTTTAACAATAAAGTAGCAAGGGTTTAAATAGTAAATTAGTAAATTGGTTTCTTGCTTGAAAACTCAAACTTTGGCATGACACGGAAATGTCTGTCCTGTAATCAACCCGATAGCATCTCCATGGAAACAGTGATTTGAGCTTCGCTGGGCTGGTTTTGGGACGGAGCTGCCTGTCTCACAGTTTGTTGGGCTGTTTATTACATTCATTAGATGTCATCTAACAGGCATTAGTATCTAACAAACAGAATATATAGAAAATGGAATGTACGCAGATGCTCAATTTTGCATATGCGAAAAAACTGCAGTGAAAAGAATATTCCCTACACTAATCATGCCTATAGTTATTGCATTTATCATTGCGGCTGGTGACTAGCTCTCATAGGTAATATAGTTCTATACATATATCTAGAGCCCTAGATACAGTGACAGAATGAGCGGTAAATAAAACAGCCACAGTTTTTCATTTCAGCAGTTACCTCATGCAGTACTATACACAATGACAAGCTTTAAATTAAGATCAAACCGTTTCCCTCACATTCAAAACACGCTGATCCTGTGAAGCTAAATATACACGTTGCAGTGGGGATGTTGCCAGGCTTTTTTTTTTTAACTTTTGATTCACCTTACGAATCAGCCCTAGTAAAGTCACATGGTCGCGCAGAGAATAAGGACGTGTTCTTGACACAAAAATGCTGGTCCCGGGAGAGAGTCTTCATTTGAGCAAAGTAACCTGACTTGCTGCAGCCGTATGAGACACCAGACATGCATGTATAAATAACTATGCGCTGTACGGTATCTGACTTGTTCTTGATAACAGCGAGTGCAATAAAACAAATGAAATCATTAGTTTTACTATTGCCCCAGTTGCCATGTCTTCTATACACTAAGGAAGAAGTCCGCAGGCTGTTAAGCGCTAATGAAGAAAGCGTTTAGATCTTTCTTGGAGTAATTTATAAAAACCGCACAGTTACCCTCAAACGCTTCGCCTTTAAATAGTTCAAAGTCGATTTTTCCTCTCCGCTCCCTCTTGCTCCCCATATTGCTTTGTTATTGTTCATTAAAATGACCTCCCGAGGCCCTGTTGTGCTAACAGCCTGGTTATGAGCATCGCTCCGAGCGGAGGCAGGAGGGGCGGCTGTGGTGCGGTGGCCGGCCGTACAAGGCGCTTCATTTGTACCTGGCTATGTGAGACACTACAGGGCGTCCAGCCCATCTGTGTGCAAATTGCAAAAGTATCATATGTCGCTACCACAACTGTATAATTGAATTAGGAAGCAAAAAAATGAACAAATGTCACCTACAGGGAACAGGGTATACTAGGGAGTTGTCGGGGTTATTGGACCCCGGGGCTCTGTCTGCTCACAGCATTAATACTTATTTATTTATTTCCTTTTTTAAAAGTTTCACCTTTCGTTCCCACTTCAAATGAGAGGCACAGACCTTAAAGCAAAGTTTGCCTCTGCAAAAGCATGTCCCCCTCCTACCAGCCGAGCACGGAAGAGCAGGACAGCGTAGGTGCGCTGAATCTCATTAAATCGCACGCCTGCAGCACAGTATTGGAAGTAAATCCGCTGAACAGGGCCGTTGCTAAGCACACAGCTGCCGGCCGCAGCCTACAGACAGCTGTAACATTAAGATTTCCGTCTTTTGTAAAACCGACACACAATAATTCATCTAGATATTTCTGGGTAATTCTGCAATACACAGAGTACCCTGTCAACTGTTTACAACATACTTTATTTTATTTTTCCTGAAGATTTCTTTTGTTAATTAAATAACGTAAAACAAAGCAGCATAATCACAAGTATGGCTTGACAGCCTTACGTTTGTTTTACCGTAAAGCTATGATAGACCAACACCAGTTTTTAACGGATAGAATAGTGGAGAGACTATTTTGTAGAATACAAGGCCCCGTCAGAAGTTGAAAAGCATAACAAAACATCAGCTTGAATCCTACACATCAAGAATTTAAAATATGACGTACATCAGGGCCGAAGTATTCCAGTCCTCAGCCTGTCTGGTGGTATAGCACATTACTGTTCAGTCACTCAGTTACAACATGTATGTTAATGCAGGGGAGATGTGTACATCAGGGCCGAAGTACTCCAGTCCTCAGCCTGTCTGGTGGTATAGCACATTACTGTTCAGTCACTCAGTTACAGCATGTATGTTACTGCAAGGGAGATGTGTACATCAGGGCCGAAGTACTCCAGTCCTCAGCCTGTCTGGTGGTATAGCACATTACTGTTCAGTCACTCAGTTACAGCATGTATGTTACTGCAAGGGAGATGTGTACATTAGGGCCAAAGTATTCCAGTCAACTGACAGGTATAGCACATTACTGTTCAGTCACTGAGTTACAACATGTATGTTACTGCAGGGGAGATGTGTACATCAGGACCAAAGTAATCCAGTCAACTGACAGGTATAGCACATTACTGTTCAGTCACTCAGTTACAACTGTTTATGTTTCTGCAGGGGAGATGTGTAAATCAGGGCCGAAGTACTGCAGTCCTTAGCCTGTCTGGCGGTATAGCACATTACTATTCAGTCACTCAGTTACAGCATGTATGTTACTGCAGGGGAGATGTGTACATCAGGACCAAAGTAATCCAGTCCTCAGCCTGTCTGGTGGCATAGCACCTTACTTTTCAGTCATTCAGTTACAGCATGTATGTGAATTTGTTCATAGAGCAAGGTTGCAGCTTTACACATGCCCCTAGGATGTGAACCAACAACCTTTCAATTGTAGGTTCTTTATTATTTTGCTACACATCCCATGTAATAGTGCAGTTACTATGTTGATGTTTTAATTTAAAAAAAAACAGCAGCGACAAAAGAATCCACATGACTTAAAATCTTCCCTTAATCAAGTAAATAAGATCCCAAATTTCTGAATTAAACCAAATGTTCACCTTTTGGGTGGTTGTAACAGTCTGGGTTATTGGGGGGGGGGCTCAGAATCAATGACATTGAGAGACAATGACTTGCATTTATCTCTGCTTTGTTCTGTTGTCGGTTTTTGTCCCTGGTCTATAGGGACAGTAAATGGACGTCCCTCTAACAAGGTGGGGGGTTATTCCTCATCTATAGGGACAGTAAATGGACGTCTCTCTAACAAGGTGACTTGGAAACAAGTCCAGCTCTCTGTGTCCTGAAAATTGAGCAGAAGAAAAAAAAACATCAGGCTTGATGGGTGGCAGGTCACAAGGCAATTAAGGACATGTATAACCTGAAGGTTGTTGGTTCAATTCCCAGACAAGAACGTCTGCACTGCCCTTGAGCTAGGAAAGTGAAGTGTTTTTTAAAGAACAGTGTAGTAGGTGAAAATTGTCATCTTAGCAATTATAGCATAAGATCTGAAGCTGGGGGCGTCAGTAATGACTGTAGATGAAACAGCTGGAAGCCCTGTTTAATCCATTCCATCTCCTTACGTCACCAAGGTGGAGACGGCTTCACGTTGTTATCAGTATTAATTAAACTACAAGCTTCTCATTTTAGGGGCTTCTGTTTAGTGGCATAGGAGACAGTTTGACAATGGAGGTGGGACACAACTTACTAATCTAAATGTAAAGGTCTGTTTTTTAAGAAGGATGAATGAATCCAAATTAATTATTGGGAGGTATATGCCCCCCCCCTTCCTTTCTAGTTCCTACATC